GCGGAGCGGGCGGCCAAGGCGGTGGCGGCCGCCGCAGCCGCGCTGGCTGGCGGACCGGGCGTCCGGCTGCTTCCACGGACCTTGGCCATTTACTCAAGCGGTCCGTGCGCCCCCGCCGCCCCGGCTTCTTTGCGCTCCGCTGTCCACTTGTGTTCCGCCGGACGCCACGACGCTCCCCGCTCCTGCTGCGTCAAGAGATGAAGGCTTCATCTGGGGCGGGCGCTGTTTTTGCGCTGACCTTTTCTTTGCGCTACGTCATCTCCGTTTGACGGATAACATAACGTTTCTGAGCAGGTTTGATGTGCCGTTTTGCTTCGAATGCTTTGATGCTCGTGATGTTGTGGATGAATTAATAACAGGGGCGTTGATCCAAGAGATTGGGGGAATGAAATCGAAGATTAATTAATTATAATAAAACGAATAAATATTTCAGCCACATTTGTGAGAACAATTAACCGTCGAATTTATGAGTAATGTTACATTATTATTCCAACTATAAATTTAAGAGTGAAATGTTAATGAACCCTAAATATTACATTAACTTTTATCTTATCCAAAGGTTTACAAAATATTTTCATATCATTAATTAATTGAAATTTGACAAAAAATTAATGTTCGTTTATTTCTTTCAGAAAATTCATTCTTCTGTGTTTATTCATGAATTATCGAGTTTTCTAGGTCTGCATTCAAACGTATAGCCTAAAGTGAATGCTCTATAATTATTTCTTTAAGCCGTTTTTTCGCGAAAGGCATTCTTCTACGCTTGCAGCATCAAATGAAAATATATTTAGTCCAAGAGGATAATGATGTTATGTCTCGTAAGCCAGGATGAAATTAACTATAAATTGGAATACCTAAATTTCGAATACTAACTCAATGTTTTTAATGCTACATGCTAATAAATATTTCTCTCGAATCTTATTTTACCATTACATTTTACAATTATCTGCCTTAAAATTTCCTGTAGTTTGATTGCCTGTTTCGCTACCTCCTATGTTTTCATGTCATTTGTATTGTGCACAGAACGTGCTTCTCGTTTCTCTCATTCCGGCATTGCTTTTTAATTGTAACAGAAATAGTTGAATGTTTTCAGCTCCACCCAAATGGCATCATCAAATACTTCAATTCAATTGATTCAATGCAATCAATTCAATGCTTCAATTCAATGCAAGATTCAATTAACCGAATTGAACAATAAGTTTATAATTGCATTTTGAATACCAACAATTCTAATAGAACAAAACAACTTCTTTTCCCCCTCATAATTCATATTTTAAAAGGCAAATACATTCAAAGAGTTTACAATTCTCCATTAACATGAACAGCTTTATTTTCACACGGGCGTTATTGTTTTTGGATACCCAA